TGAACTCAAATTCGACCCGATAGTCACCGGCCACGTTGAAGATAACTAGCTCGTCATAATCTTCTCACTATTCCGTTCCACGTAGGAGTGACGCATATCACTTTTTCTCCCTTTCCCCCACATGTCTTGGTATGGCCGAGAGTGAGGTGGGTCCGCCCTCCCACTCCAAATGCTCCCACACGGCCACGCGTATACAGCCTCTGCCAGGGAAGTCCTACTCACTGCCTTTTCGTCGTGGGGTTGTTGTTTTCGAAATTGAGAGGACGAAAAGCGAATGTCCGGCGCTTTAACCGGATCACAAACCAATGGTGCACATGGGCTCCAGTATCCTGCGGGAACAAAAGGCGTATGAACCAATCGTTGGTCACCGGCTACCATGGGACCGCATCTCCCTACGATGCTTCACTGCCTTGTGGGTTAGACCTTTAGGTCCAAGGCTCAGGGTGGGGCCTCCTAAGAAAACCACTTGCTTCGGTTTCGGCACCCAGACAGTATTACAGCCCACACATTAATATGATGAAATGTCGATATTTATGGAAAATACTTGTCTTGCTTCAACTAACAATGGAACGATTCACATTATGATTATTATTACCATTATTGTCACTATTATTATTATTTACATAATTTATTCATTATCTTTTATTCCCACTTCATGTATCCTTATTTTTCGTCTTATGCAGCAGCTCGTCTATGGTGGAAACTCGGTTCTATCTAAACGTTCTCGAGTCACTGTCTGGTTGAAAATTGTATGCTTGCACTGAATATGAGTACTGAAGCAGTTTTTCTGAAACCACGTGCGCCATTCAAACTGGCTGCCTTCAACGTTCGCACACTTATGCAGGTTGGTCAACAGATAGGGCTGGCTATGTCTTTGGAAAGTCTTAATATTGATGTTTGTTGTCTATCCGAGACCCGTATTCAAGACTCTAGCGAAGTACTACAAATTCGCTCTACATCTGTCACTTCAAAAAGCTTGTTTTACGTGCGCTTATCCGGGGACCCTTTGGCATCTTCGTCTGGTCTTGCAGGCGTTGGTGTCGCACTAAGCGCTAGAGCTGAGGCAGCATTAATAGATTGGATCCCCATTAACAGTCGGTTATGTGCTGTTAGATTAGAAAGTTCCATCAAAGTGAGAAGAAATCGGCGTGAGAAACGATGTCTTTTCGTCATCTCCGCGTATGCTCCGACAGATCGCAGCCCGGATGCAATCAAGAATGAATTTTACCACCAGTCAACCGTTCTTCTCTAGAAATTGCGTTCGACAGATATTGTAGTACTAGCCGGAGACTTGAATGCTCAGGTCGGGCGTCTAGGCACAGAAGAGAGTCGTTTAGGTGGCCAATGGGGACTTGTTAGCGGCAGGACAGACAATGGGGACAGTCCACTGCAACTGTGCACAGACCACAACCTGTTTCTGGCTAGCACTAACTTTCGGCAAAGTCATCGCCGATGTGCCACATGGCGTCCTCCCTCTGCATCTCAAGCCTGGACTAAGATTGATCACATCGCGATCAGCTACCGCTGGTGTGGTTGTGTACAGGACTGCCACTCCTTTTGGAGTACTTATCTGGACTCTGACCATGCCTTGGTCTGCACCAATCTTGCCTTAATTTTCAGTGGACAATGAAGTGACCGCCACCAACGAATTGATGTTAGCAAGCTGGTTGCAATTTCTGTTGCTAGTAAGTATCGAACCAAGCTAGCTTCTAGGCTAGCTACCATTCCACCGAAAAGTATAGATGAGCATTGGTTGCAATTGCACGACGCCATGAAAATGGCGGGTACAGTCAGTTGTGGGTTTGCGAAATGTCCTGCTTTTAAGCACTGGGTTTCTTCTGGTTCCTTACAACTCATTGAAGCCCGTCGGTCTACTCCGGGTGACCATGAGTTTGACCATAAACGAAGGATGTTACGTAATGAAATTGGGCAAAGCTTGCGTAAGCACCGAGAAGCCTGGTGGTCGAAGCGTGCTAATGAGCTGGAAGCAGCAGCTGCATCTGGTAACTACCGGAAGCTGTTCCAACATCGGTCAGACTGTCCTGCCCTCCATGGCCGGTGACGACTGATCCACCAAACGAGGAGGAAGTCCGCAAGGAACTCCAACTCTTGAAGCGTTACAAATCACCTGGCCCAGATGACTTACCTCCGGCTCTTTTTAAAGATGGTGGTGACTTTTTGACTAAGGAATTGACGACGTTGTTTACAAAGGTTTGGGAACTAGAGAGTGTACCAACGTCATGGAATTAGTCGATAGTTGTCCCTATCTTTAAAAAGGGTTCACGTCGTTCCTGTAACAACTATCGGGGGATAAGTCTACTTCCGATTGCGTCCAAGCTATTGGCTTCCGTCATACTTCGTAGGTTGTTCAAAACCCGAGAAAGATTGACTCGCGAGGAGCAGGCTGAGTTTCGTTCTGGTCGAGGATATATTGATCATATCTTCACCCTCCGCCAAATGTTAGAACACCGTCATACTTATCAAATGCCAACAATCGTAGTGTTTCTTGACATCACGGCTGCCTTCGATTCGTTGGACAGGGCTGTTCTCTGGGATTGTCTATTGAAGAAGGGTGTGCCTGAGAAGTTTATTAACATCCTAAAAGCCCTATATACAAACACCTCAGGCAGAGTGAGGGCATACAACCACCTCTCCCAATTGTTCGATTCAAGCAGTGCTAATTAGCAGTCAAACGCTATGATATCCCTTCACTTATATCAATACACGTGGATAACTACGGACACTCATTCGATTGTGAAAATGTAGAAATCTTAGACAGAGGAAACTCCAAAAACATCAGAGAATTTTTAGAAGCCTGGGACTCAGGTCAATCAGCAATCAACAAACATATTGAAATCAATCCAATTTATCAAACAATCAGGAAAATCTTGCATGGTGTCGTGGCATGAAAGAAAGCTGCAAAGGACTGGCTTCTGTCGGTCCTTCACGACTGCCTGGTTGGGGTCTGAGAGATGGTGCTACACAGCGGCTAGAGACGTTATCAGATATGGCTTAGAATAGAAGTCAGTGGCGATCCTGCTGTAACCTTCTTTCGCTTTCTTCGTAGGAAAAGGCGTGTTTCTTGCTTATCTGAAAGATTTCTTCTGATTTTACTTTTCCGTTTCCTCTATAATTACCTATATTATTATTATTATTATTACACTACTTTACACTAATCTGTCGGTTATTGTTCTGTTTTTATCTTCGAATTCTCATTGTTTTGTGTGGCGCATATGTATTTGGTGCCCTTTTGTACCAATATTTTTTTTCAAATAAACAGATATACAAATTCGCTCCGTAGACTTCTGTATGATATTGAAATAATCAGTTTTCAAACAAATTGTCGTTGTAGGGTGTGATCATTTGTGGGACGGCAAAATTCATCATCCACTTTCCAAGAAACTTTCTGACCACTTTCGTGGCTGCAGTAACTCCTTCAACATATATGTAGTTAGTTTACAATTAGGTGAAGAATTGATGTTATAAGATGTGATTTAAATGTATAGATCAAGGTGAAGTATAGGTGTGCCTGTGGTTCATTATGCTATGTTGTGCCTCTAATTTTTGGGTGTCACCCTCAATGTTTGTGTTGAGTCTGAGCCTGAGTGGATGTTTAAGGGGGTGTTCAAGAATGTTTAGATTTTATAAGTCATTAGAAGTTCACCACTAAGACGGCTATAATCCAATGGGTAATGATTAATTGATTTGAGATGTTCTTCATAAGGTTTGAATTTGAATCGTCGTGGCTCTCAGTCGGTTACGCCACAGTGTGTTCTTGTCCTATTGAAGTGAGGGAGAATACACTATTTCAAAGCTCTAAATGTGGTTGAACAAATTTTTTTAAGACTAAGTGGGAAGTTTCACCGTTGAGCTAGTCAAAAATTTGTATTAACATTACCAGTCCAAGATTTGCCTGAGAGGTATTTTTGTCTCAGTTAAGGTGCAACTTTCGATAGTAGGGTACCAACACTCCTAGATCTCTTACAGCTTGAGATATCTCTAGAGCAGAGTTACCCATGTTACATGCGTTATCTGAAACACATCTCAGATGGGCTACTTTACACTTTTTTTATCTGCCCGACTTTGAAGTTGGGTCATATCCTCTTGAAGTGCCACCATATTATCTCGGTTGCGAAATTCGTCTCGGGTGCTCATTTTATTTCAACTGTTATTGAAGAAATAGTTCTGTAAGTTTTCCCTCGGATAACCTTAACAATTATCACCGAAGGAACCATCTTAGGCCGTCTACTGTTCTTCTTATACGTTAATGAATTACGACTGTTGTTTAGGTTGTCGACATTATTGTTGACATTATGATGTCAAATTCTGGAGAACAACAAGAACTCAGGTTGATCATTTTGATCTCAAAGCTGACATAGACGAATTAGTTAGATGGGATCGAGCCCATGTTTGGTAAAGGATAATAACCCGCTTGAACATGTTTAGCGCGCGGGAACAATATTAGTGTAGTGTATTTCTAAGCTTCCTTTCGAGGATAAAACTCCGAAATCTTTTCCCCTTATCGTATCGCAGACGCGAGATGACCTTATTCTGGCATTTCGTATTCTTAATTGTGATTTGGGTGTTAATATGTCTTATCTTTTTGCTCCCTCCAGCACTAATAATCTCCGAGGTTATAGCAAGAAGGTTCGCAAACCGCGATCTAATAAACTTAAAGTGAGGTCCCGTTCTTCTCGTCGAGTAGTCAATGACTGGAATGCCTCACTCGAACCAAGTGGTATAAGTCCCATCAGTGAATATTTCCAAGAAGAAGCTAAACCTTTACTGGAAGGCAAATTGTCAGGATTAACACAGGTTATACAACCTACTATCCTTATTACTGAAGACTGATAACAAATAAACAAAATGGATTGCATTAGCTCGTCACACGGTCATTGGATAATGAACATATTGAAACCTGACTTCTAATAACTATGGTCTAGATTATATTCGAATACTTTGGGTGAGAAATAATAAAGTCTTTTTCGAATGTTTGAAATGCATATTGAATGTTGAGACTGATTGGCCTTCGCAACTCAGTTTGCTTCAGATTCGAAATTCTGGGTAATGTCAAAGAAAGCTAAACGTGCTTTGAAGTCAATAGCGGATTACTTATTTCTAAGTAAAAGTGCACATGGAAGCATATATTCTAAAAACAGACACAAAGGTTATTTTCATCCTTGCAACATAATTCCTAATAAATATATATACAGAATTCGAATATGTTACAAATTTACCTTTACAGATGTTGTTTTATTTCAACTCGCTTTATTCCCCATTTTGGTTTATCGGAACGCTAATGACACTCATTATAGAGGTAGATTCTTGAAAATATATTAATTAATAGCTTGATAACTTTATAGTTCGAATACTTAGACCCCGTTTATAAAGTAATTAATACTGCCGTATTCGTCTTATACTCTGTTTTGGAAGGCCTTAGACTGTATCTTGGGTATGCTGGAAATTTGATGGAGCTGGTATTTCTATATCATTCTTCTAACGTTTTCTTTAGGTCCCTGAACTAGCTGGATCATGGTTACTGACTATTTTGATACAACTTCCAGCTATTTCTTTCATGTTATTCAACTGTGATATGATTATATCATCATTTGAGAGAACTATCCATATAATTGAGTTTATAATGGTAGTCTTTGAATCTTTGGTTGGATTTTTTGTTCTAAAACTTATGGTACAAATGCAAGCCCTAAAGTTCCATTCACATTTACGCTCTCGTAAGATTGAAAATTTTGAGAACAAATCTCTTGAATATCAGATGTGATTTTTGATAATAAATTTCGCCTTTTAACTTGGTTAGTCTAGACTCATCGTGAACATTTTTTTGGTATCTAAGTCCTAGATTAGTGCGGATTACTTCATCATCACTCATTTTCAGTTACTTTACTGCAAGCAATTAAGTGAAGCATTTACTAAAAGTCCCGTTTTTTAAAATCTGCAGTAACAGCACTGAAAGTAGCGCACGAGATTAAAATTTTTAGATCTATCGGAAACGTACCTTAGTAGCTACTAATGAACCAGTGCTTGAAGGATGTAGTGTATTAAAATTAAAATACAATGCACAATGGTAGTGCGCAGAGAAATTGTCATTTCACACAGACACCAAATAGTAACGGTATATGGATAATTAAAAAAAGTCAACCAACGTTTACTGGTTCTTAAAATATTTCTACGAAGTATCACTTTCTCCTTAAGTTGTTCATTCTCAGGAGCCAATTTTACCTTCTGATGTAAATCTTATTTGTGGACCAGCAGACGATAAAATATTTCTCTATATTGATTCCTCAAAGTGAACATTTCGAAAGAGTTTCAGATTTTCGTCGGAGACTTTAATTATCAGAAGAAAATCCACCTAATCTATATATCATAATTTAGGACGAAGAATATTCGTAAGTCATCTTTTCCTTGATCACATATTACGGAAAAAGTTTAGTTGCTCCTTATAAATGTTTTCAGAAGGTCCAGCTACCGGATTGTCATCTAATTATTCGGAAGTATTAAAGTAGTGCTTAGTCTCGTAGGTTGGTTGACTGTTTAGATTCGATGGTCCAACACAAGAGACCATCATCGAGGCATTTCAAGGTGTTTGTGGATGACCGTAGTACTAATATGCGTTATCATTATTAGTGCTGTAATGTGGTTTCACACTGAATCACAACTTGTATCAACTGGACAGTAATTTCATACAGATTGTGTGATGGATGGAATGGTAGCTGCAACAAATGTACAACGCTTTACTCTCATTGAAATCAAATTTGCCATATTACTGATTGGATTACTGAAGCTGGCTTGTAGCTCAACTCTATTTTTTTACGAGCACTATCACTTCAACGATAAAGACAGTAGGTAAGTTGGCTTGTGCTAACCCTAGCAACTATTATTTCTGTCAAGATCATGTTCCTCCATGGAAATGTTGATACTAATTATTTGGATAGTATGTGCAACCTGACGATCATTCGGAGACAAGAGGAAATCCACCCTAATTTTATTCTACCGTGACTATTGAGCCGGAAATGGTTAATCGTCAATGAAAAATAGATAAATCATTTTCGTGCACAAACCGTTATTAGAAATGAGGAATGGTGAAATAAGGTCACCTCGTGATCTGTCTTGAAACAAATGGAAATATCTGAGAATTTCAATCACTTCTCATAGCAGAGGTTTAAAAGTTCTGCTATAAAAAACAGAATGCTAACTTTTGAATACACTACTGCGTCTCTGCATCACTCTAATGCAAAAAAATTGATGATCTAAATAACTTTTATAATTTATTTGGAATTTTACAGTCATTGGTCCATGTAATTTCATTTTAAATAGGTCTATGTGTCTTAAGCTTGGGTATTTCTCTTTTCTTTCCGATTATTATAAATGCAAGCCAGATAAAAAATTTGTTATAAAGGATAGTTTTTTGCTCATAAACCTGAACAGGTGGTTAGCACCAGAGTTCATGCTTCTGGTATATTTATCAACGTATGCTGATGTTGATAATAGGGAGATTATTATCTTGAACGAATGAAATAAAATGGTAATACCGTACGTTATTTGAAAACATTTAGCCTTGAAAATATCATTTTCAAGGGACATTTGCAAGACTAGAACAGCCACTCACCATTTAGTTCCGCACTGTATTTATTATTCTAAAAGGATTTTATTTTTCTGTTGTTGCTGTTAACTATTATGGTTGATCAATCTCTTTTAACGTATGTGCATCTCGAGCACACTGTCATTCTACTGGCTAGCAGTAGAATCTATGACATTCCCCTTGTGTTATCTGGGACTTGTCAGCTGGTTATGCATGGATGCCTGTATTGATACTAATGCCAGGACTCGAACACAGCGGCTTTCACTTCAAATGGTCAATGAGTTATCCATTGATCAAATGGGTTCAGATAGTCACTAGCCTATACGGCAAGGATATATGTCTGTTTCATTATTTAAAACACTAGGATGCAAGGGCATCCATCTGCCGAGTTTTGATCTGGACAAAATGTACTTCCTTGATTCTATTGCTCTCTTTGTCCAAATTTACCTTATAATGATATACTTATGTAAGTCATTTGATTTCTGATAATGTCTTAAATACTTCATTTTTGACGATTGATCAAAGGCAATATGAGCTTTAGTATCCATTAAAATCCTTTAGAGCAGAATTCTCATCTATGAACGGCAGTGAAGCAGATAACGGAACTCAGATTTTCTACTTGGAGTATCATCATAACTTCAAATCGGCATTTAAAATATGTTAAGTCTCTTCGAAAACTCCGCCTGTAGCTCTTCTAGAGTTACTGCCGGTCCCAAGCCCGGGTAAAGGAGGAGGGTTGGGCATGGGGTTAGCGTCCCCATCCCGTAGAAAACTAACTCGCTAAAAAAACGCTTACCAGAAAAAATAATTCAAACCATTTTAACTCTGCCCTGAGAGTTAGAAGGTCTTCATTTAGAAGAATTATGACGCTTCATGGTGAAAGCCGAGTTCCTTCGGAAGCCACGAGGCCGATGCCCCTTCTAACAACCAGAGCAAAAATTTTTATAGGTACATGGAACGTTCGAACAATGTGGGAAACCGGGAAGACCAGCCAAATAGCAACGGAAATGAGGAGATACAACTTGGCAGTACTGGGAATCAGCGAAACCCACTGGACCCAAGCTGGACTACAGTGCAAAGTAGTGCATGGAGGACAGCTGACAGATGCATTCCAAGTAAGGACTGGAGTCAGACAAGGCTGTTTACTCTCTCCCTTCCTCTTTCTTCTGGTGGTCGACTGGATTATGAAGACCTCGACATCTGAAGGAAAACACGGAATACAATGGACAGCTCAGAACCAATTAGACGATCTGGACTTCTCAGATGACCTAGCCCTCCTATCACGTACACGTGAACAGATTCAGATAAAGACAGCCAATGTAGCAGCAGTCTCTGCACCAGTAGGCCTCAGTATACACAAGGGGAAAACCAAGGTCCTCAAATTCAAAGCGGAGAACAGCAATCCAATCACCCTTGATGGGGAAACTCTGGAAGATGTAGAATCCTTCACATACCTGGGATGCATCATCGATGAACAAGGAGGTTCAGATGCAGACGTAAAGGCGAGGTTGGCAAAGCAAGGAGAGCATTCCTACAATTGAAGAACATATGGAACTCAAAACAACTTTCAACCAATATCAAAGTGAGAATCTTCAATACGAACGTCAAGGCAATTCTACTGTATGGAGCTGAAACTTGGAGAACTACTACAACCACAATCAAGAAAGTACAAGTATTTATAAATAGCTGTCTACGCAAGATACTCAACATCCACTGGCCGGATACCATCAGCAATAGCCTTCTGTGGGAGAGAACAAACCAACTTCCAGCTGAAGAAGAAATTAGGAAAAGACGATGGAAATGGATAGGACATACATTACGCAAATCGTCAAACTGCATCACGAGGCAAGCTCTAACTTGGAATCCTGAAGGGAAGCGGAAAAGAGGAAGGCCAAAGAACACATTACGTCGGATAATAGAAGCAGATATGAAAAGGATGAATTACAACTGGAAGGAGCTGGAAAGGATTGCCCAGGACAGGGTTGGATGGAGAATGCTGGTGAGCGACCTATGCTCCTTCATGAGGAGTAACAGGTGTAAGTAAGTAAGTAAGTAAGTCTCTTCGAAGAAATAAAAATTACCAAAATAATATCCATCAAAAGCCTTATAATCTATAACCAATGTGATTGATACGTACCAAGCGTTGGAAAGGAAAAGTGCAAAATCACAAACCGATATCCACAAGACAAATTGGTAAGACTGTAATTTATGGACGACCTCTGAGCGACGATCAAGTGATCTTGAGGGTGTCCGCCTACTTACTAGGGCTAAATGAGGGTAATAAATCAGTTTGGAAAATAACGATTAGGATTAACATTTGATGGTTAGGGTTGGGAATTAGATTTACGGCTTTTCATCACGAACTGACATCAGCTAAAATGCCAAGAAGCTATTTGGCCAAATGGATGAGTGAATTTTACGCCAAAATCTAAGACATATTATTCTAAATCTGATTGGTTCGTCCATAAATTGTAGACTCGCCGCAATCTAAACAGGAACTTTGATTTTTCTTCATTTTTTGTACCTACTCAACATTATCACGGAAAAGGCTATTCGTTTATCAACTTTAAGAGTCTTGGGTATTCATTTGGTGAAATTCCGTTATTTACTTTCTTACACTTTACAACCAATCATTGTAAAGATAAGGAGTAATTTCCATTCGGTTAGATACCGATTAAAATTTCATGACATTGTATTTGGTCGTAGGTCTATTTAAGTGTCTAATTTTGGCCTAAACTTCACCTACATAATTGAGGTTTCTATCTGGTGATTATTTAATGTAGTGTTGGTATTACGTAATAATTTGTGATTTTATAGCTTGTTGATCGATAGAATAAGCCTATCAAATGACTATGCTGGATACATTGTAATTTGTGGAACGCTTAGTGACTTGGTAGCGAAATAAAAAAATTATAAATTTGAAATATATGCACATATTTGACAGCAAAAATATGGTTTTTCGGCAAGAATTTTTTTAAAAACTAGGTCAGCTTGGTTTTTTGATAGTTTTGTTATTTGTGGCCTGGATACTACGTTGGTTGTTATGCAATGATTTAGCTGCTCATACTGAGGTAAATGTAAGACAAACACAACATACTATTAACAGCTCATATGAAGGATAGATAGTCATTAGAGATATAATTATTGGCCGGATACCATCAGTAACAGCCTTCTGTGGGAGAGAACAAACC